TATTGGGAAGCAAAAACAATTGAGCAAGAAGAAGGGGGGGCAGGTTGTCTACCATTTGCCGGGGTTGAAAGTTTGTTTGTTAGTAAAGATGGGTGGGTAGAAGACGAAAATGGAAACAAAATCGGCCAGATTTTCAAAAAAACTTTTGGGAAGGGCTGTTGACCCTGACGGCGATATCCTTGACAAAAGAGGTAATGTCGTTGGGCACGCAGAGAAGTACAAAGAGAAACCAGGGCCAGAAAAGGAAGAGTTGTCAATTCTAAAGGGATTATCGCCAAATAAACGCGGAAACATCGTGGGACCCGACGGAATACCTATTGGTAGGGTCATCGAGGGAAATTCTACACAACTAGTCGGTAAGAAGGTTGATGAGCATGGCTGTATATGGAATGATTCTGGAAAGCACATTGGCCAATGCGAATTGATACCGGAAGAAGAACGGGATATAAAAGCGGAGTGTCCTTTTTCTGGCATTGATGTGTTGGTTGTTGTCAATGACGGCTTGGTCGAAGATGAAAACGGGCATGTTGTTGGCAAAGGGAATGTTAAGGGGCATGTCGAGCCTTACGGGGAGCTTGAAGAGGAAGTCGGGAGGAAGATCTGTCACTGTTAGCGGGCAAAGCAATCAACGAAGCTGGTAAAATCGTCGACAAATCCGGAGTCGCGATTGGGCGCGTTGCCTCAGGTGATCCAAAGAAGCTTGCTGGAAGGATGGTGGATGATAAAGGCCAAATATGGGGTGACAGGGGTGAAGTTATCGGGAAAGCAAAGGGGAACAAAGCCGATGGGCCGTTCTCCGGATTCCAGAGTCTTACAGTGGGTAAGGATGATGTCGTTCTAGACAGCTCAAGCTGAAGGACCGCGCCCCGTCGACGCGCAAGTCGAATCCTAGAAAACGTGGATGCCGCTGAGTGAGAACATCGACAGCGGCTACGGCTACAGGTATCAGCGGGGGGTCCTGCAAGGAGATCTGGATGCCCAGGGGCGGCACTGTAGATAGTATTAGAGGACAAAAGAGTAGACTGCTACATCTATGCACATCCAGGAAGTGTCCAGAGATCGATGGTGGAAGCTGATGTACCGTCATTGAACTGTATATATCCATCTGCTCCCTTCTGGGGGAAACTAAGCAACGAAGTAACTCGGCAAGGATGGATCCCATCTGGGGGTCCCTTGAACAATTCGTCGAAGTATCTATATCTATATGTACCTTTCGGAAGCGGTGGCGCACGTATTCTGACGGTTGCGCAGCTAAGGCCCTTTCTGATTGGCTGATGGTTGGCTTGGCGGAGGTGAATATGTGGTTTTCTGATTGGTTGATAGTTTACCCCTTCAAATTTTTCAGCTGATTTTCAGATTGAGATCACATGATTTGACTCTATGTTAGTGGGTACTAGTGGACGGCTACCTATCACGTGCCCCCCAACATATTGTGTTGCTCTCGCGTAGTTAGTTAGTAATGACAACAACATTATCCTTCTATAGATTATGGCTCTTAGAAGCAACAGAACTGCTGTAATAATATATTAACTACATCTTCATACATTGTTAAAAGTGTGCTTAAATGCTTTGATAATTTATTTTGAATCTGATAATTAAATTGAGATCAGATGAAGCATTTAATTTAATGAAAAATTATATAATAATGTATAGAAAAAGAAGTTCTCAAATATTTAAAACATAATAAAAGGAACTGAACACAGATTTATCAACATCTGCAATCAATAAAAAGAAAATTGCTTCAGAGACATTTGAATTTGATGAGATAATAAAAAAAAAATTTGAATGAATTGAATTTTGATTATAAAAATTCAGTTAACAACAATGAGATGTCAGATAACATGAGCGACTCTGATAATTATTGTAATGTGACGGCGCCGAGGCGGTTGCTACTCGGCAGCGGCACAGAGGAGGATGGTATATAATGGGAAGCCTTATGGGTGGGCTTGATTATCTCGCTTGAACCGCGAACTCGTAGAATACTATACAAATACTGAACTACCAGAGGTACTCGGCACACTAAGAAGATTGTATGAGGACAGTGGTAACTCTGGTATCTTATTGTCAAAAGATAAAAGACGAATCGCTGGCTCCTGGAATAGAGAGCCAGCATCTAGCTATTCTATATAGACAACGGGCAGCCATCCTCCCCTCACTCTATAAGCGAGGGTAGCCGAAGCAACTCCGCAGTGGCGCTGCATTGATCTGCCAGAAGGAATCCAGACCCCGTACAGAAACAGGATTCTCATATCTCATCAATCGGATCCTCTTCTATTGCATCCGAATGATGTCATAGGGTGGTTGGAAACCGGTTCGGACACCTGCGTGATGTCATGGGATAGATGGGATTATCCGAGGGGAAACGATGGGCCGTGTGGAGCCGTCACGGGGCCTTGGCACAACCAAGGGTGTGACAGCTTATCAATAACTGAATACAATCTTTTAAAATGAAAAGACATTTAATTGTTATATATATTCATAACAAATTTATAAAATATTCATTTCTCTCTACCATTCAGTGCTGTGAAGTTAAACTCATGAATGAAATGACAATAATAAATAATCTTGTAACAAATGTCTCAAAATCAAGGCAAGAAAGAAGTACTTTGAAAGAATAAAAATTAACAGTTGTAACTGAATGAACAATCACATATTCAATTACATGTGTGGAATATCTCACATCATTTCATTATTTGAACTGTCTCAGAACTCTCTTGAAAATGACAAGACCTCTTTCATTTATTCCACTCTTTTTCAAAATTCTCTTTTTTTTTCCTTTATGTTTGCTCTTTGCAGGTGGTCTTATTTTTTTTTCACTTGCCACTTTTTGCACAAAATCTAGGTTGCTTTCATACATGCATTCTCCGCATGTTCTACCCAATCAAACTGCAGCTGATGTCTGGGATGTCATACGCAAATCCAATTGGGCGAAGCTCAAATTATTTCAAACTCCCTGGGACACCCAATGATAACCAACCCTGGTGTTAGGGGATTCAATCACCAAAACCTTCCCTTCACAGAGTCTTAATCCTGAGGATTCCCTGAAGAATCAGATATCTAGTCTTATTCATTATAAAAAGGTGCGTATTGGGGTAATTCCATTTCCAGAGTTCACTAAGTGGAAGCACTCTTATCATGTCCTCTTTCCTCCCTGGGCGCCCCGTGATCAGTGGTGGGGGGTCATAGATATATATACAGAGTTGCATCCTGACAGTGTCCGGGTTGATCCAGGTACCACAAATGAAAACACACCTGGTGTAAACTTAGGTGGCAGTTCAGTTCCCAAATGCGAACCACCTCACTGATTTATTGATGCTTCCATAAACCTTTACAATTTACCCCTCAGTTGGCGCTGATCCCCCAACTCGGACAATTTCTTCTTATTAACTAGATTGATTTATGAAATTATTCAGTTAGGATTTTAACTTCACTAGCGCTCCCTCTCAGGGTTTTTGTTGACATCTATTATTTACGCTAGCTAGGCCCTCACTGTTAGTTAACTAACCAGTTTTGCAGCTTTCTTGGCATCACAAATATCTTGGATCCCAGCTTGAAGCAAGCATAATAATGTCAAATCACATTACTTCCCATGGTCCCAACTTCTTGGCCGCAATATCGATGACCCTTCACCGAGAGCATTGAGAATTTCAATTATAGAGGCAAAGCCCCATCTGACAACGCCATTAATTAAAAGGCCAAGAAGCAGGTTCTGGTAGAAGATGGATGGCCGGATGGGGAATGCAATTCTAGGCATGAGGAGAATTGCAAGGATGTAGTGGTAGATTCAGAGACAGAGGCCAGGTAGAGCGAGCAGGATGATCAAGCCACTGCAGATGGCCAAGTAAATTTTGAAGTAATGGAAAAAAAGGCAACTCTGTCGGATATGCCATGCCTGGCCAAATACAATTGATAGGATGATGGTGATCATGATTCCTAAGGCGATGGGTGCGCCTGGTTGGGCTTTGATGTCATAAGGGGTAAGACGCTGAATGGATATCCATAGGGCAAATGTGTAGTTGTTAAGCGCGCTGACAAAAGCTGGTCCCAAGTATAGAATTGTCTTGCTGAACTGGTAAACAGGAGGAGAAGCCAACGGTGTTAGAAGCAGACGCGCGCAGTAAATGTACAAAACATACACAATAAAACTGGCTGGGAGCGTTCAGAAACATAGAGCAGAGAATAATTCCAACATTTTGGACAGATCAGGCGGATCAGAGACTATACCTATGTGAATCATAAGCATGAAAAAGTGGTGAAGAAGAAGACAGCTGAAGAGGTTGTGAAAATTGAGGTTAAAACTATAGCCACCACAGTGATGGCGAAGAGCAGCCATTTTAAATCTCCAGAGCAGTCTGATTGCAATTCTGGCAGCCGCAGGAACCAGAATGATTTCAGGAACATTGAAGAAAAGCCAACTGATTTGAGGCCATGGCCCTTGCTTGGAAAATATGAGTGGCCAGCGCCGGTCAGTTCGACCACACCACAACCACTGGTTGAGTCCATGATGACACCATCATGGATTGCAGCCTGACACACATTGCTATCTGCTTGATAGTTTCCTTCATCGCTGTCGGCGCCGGGCTCTGGGCCGCCGACAATGAGCGGCTAGTAGTTGACGGTTTCATTGCCAACTTTATAGGGTTCCAGACGAGAAGGCTGCTACAGAAAGCAGAACATTGAAAGACAAAGGTTGAGGAGGTAAATGGCCGACATTCATACCCATTCAGCCCACATCTATTTCCCTCGGACCTTTAAAGAAAATAGCTATTAGCCTTGTGCTATAAATGCATCCGAACGTAAAACTTACCAGTAGCTAGCACTGCAGCTAACTAATGGGGCTGGGTTTGCCATATCCCTCTATATGTCCACCAGAAATGGAATGTCACAACATCAATGACCAAGAGAGGAGCCAGCTAAAGTACAGCGCCAGCAGTAGACAAATCTTGTATTTTCATTTCAGGAAGAAGCAATCCAACAGCTTGACCGGCGCAGCCTGTATGCTGAGAAATAGTGGGTTCAGTAGTAATATTCAAGAAGAGTCGGGACCCTTGAGCCATCTGACAGTTGTGCGGCCAGCTTTGCACAACGGCAGCGGAACCCATTTCCAATGAAATGATTTACAGAATTCCACCGGCTACTTCTCATAAAGATGATGCTCAAAGGCGAAAAGGCCCTGGGAAATGGGAGGATTTGTGACTACTTTGGTGAGGCATTTTTCAAGTCCAGGTTTTGGTTTCTTTGGTCGACGATGTAGGTTTATTTAAGGCGCTTATCAGTCTTGAGTTGGTGACGAATGTTTGTCTGACGTGGAGTAGATTTGCCCTTCAGCTGTGGCATAGTGTCGTGGAGTTTCGCAGGCTTCTTCGCAAGTACTTTCAAGAAATCTGGAGTATGAACGACGTGCAACCAGCCGACTGGATCAACTACACTCTGTATGAGTTCATTATCCGTCCAATCACAAGCTTTTTGAGGAGAGAGGGGGTAGAGTTTCATTTTGAGACCATGGTTACTGACTTGATTATGTATCCAGCCGGCAACCCGACTACTGTATCAGGAATCAAAATGCTCGGTCGTCGAGGGGTTGAGACACTTGTGACCGTGAATCCTAAGGATATTGTTATTTTGACACTTGGCTCGATGACGTTCGGCTTCTCCCGGGGTTCAAATTCAGAACCTCCGGCTACGATCTCTGCTCTGCCAGAGGATTGGAAAATCGGACCCTGGTCCCTGTGGTTCCAGCTTGCCAAAAAAAAAAGCGGCAAGTTTGGTGCTCCATCTAATTTCTGTCCTCATATTTACTGCGCAAGTTTGGAGATTTTTACTGTGACTCTTAGAAACTCACAATTTTTTGACCTTCTCATCAAGCTCACACATGATCAGCTGATCTCTATTTTAGGGAGCAATTGGGATCTTACTATCAGTGTACGGAGTACCTCACCAACCAGTGTTCGCTGATCAACCCGACGATATTCGGGTGTTCTGGGGCCACTCTCTTTGCCCGGAGAGGGAGGGGAACTACATTAAGAAACCAATGTTTTTCATGTGCGGGGGAGGAAATCATGAAGGAGCTGTTGTCCCACCTCCAATTCCCAACTGACTCAATCCCTTCCACCTCAATTACCATTCCATGCATTTTTCCGCAAGGCACGTCAATAATGTTCCCGCGCACGGAGGGCGACCGTCCAGCAGTTATTCCACCAGAGACAATGAATCTCGCCTTCATCGGCCAATATGTGGAAATTCCCGATGACACAGTTTTCAGCATGGAATGCAGTGTGCGCAGTGCGCAGATGGCGGTGTATGGACTGATGGACATTGCTAAGGAGGCCAAGAAGGTCAAGAGAGATCATTTTATAATTTTCGAACTCTTGATATAGTAGGAGCCCCCTCGTCTTTTTCCTCCCGGAGTCAAGCCCTTGACTTAATTGCTGAGCAGGATCACGTCACTGATAATGTATTGCATTTCCACTACGGTGTGTACCATAATTTGAATTACTCACTTCTTCTGCCTGCGTTTTCTTTTTGGGCCTCTGCACGCCCCTCGACAATTAGCTGTTTCTCAAAAATATCTACATATGCTATATTGCAACACGAGAGGACTGTCTTGCGAGTGATTCTCTCTTGTAGGATCATTCGTAATGTACGAAGGCGCTGTTACTGATCATTCAGCGGATTAGGACTAGGCGTTTACTGAATGGCTGAGGTAGGAACGTCTATTAAACTCCCAAAGATCCTACAAAGGTTATTTTACCCGTATACCTCTTTCTCAGGGTCACGACCTTTTCGTGAGGTGCTGTGTCTATTTTGCATTCTTTGGGCCACAGCCGTCCCTTCGTCAAGGAGCAGATAAACCCCCCTCTAGCGTGCCTATGTCGCCGCTATTTGTATCGGAGAACAGTCCGATAGACGGTCCATCAGAGGCACGGGGCCATGAATACATCATCCAGCACCCACAAGACGATGGTCGGAACGGTATTCCTCCTGGGCCCGGATCGCAAGGGTCAGCCGTGGCCATGGATACTGATGAACGAGAGGCAATGTGGACGGACATTGCTACAGAGTGGACCGCTGAGGAACGAGCGAGTGAGGCGCACATGGCCGAGACCGCACGTTTGCAGCCGATAGCGGAAGACATGGATCGACGGGCCCGAGTGGCGGAAGAGAAAGCCGCATCCCACGCGGCCGAGCTGGCGCGGGTGCAAAAGGAAGCGGATGAAAGAGCCGCTCGAGCTGCCGAACAAGTCCGCGCACAGCGCGACGCCGAACAGGCGGTCCAACAGGTTCACCGGCAGGAAGAAACGGAATCGATGGCCCGTCGTGCGAGAGAGGCTGAAGATCGGGTGGCCGCACAGGCGGCCGAGCTGGAGCGGTTACGGAAAGGGGCCACCGAGAGAGCGGTCCAAGGTGCTGAACAGACCCTCTCGCAGGTGGACCACGATGGAAGCGCGACAGTTCTCGCTCAGCTGCAGAATGAAACTCTTGAGGGACTGGCGGAGCCGGCTCCCGAAAATATTCCACTGCCTCTCGACGACGACACTACGATGGCCGAGCCCTCCCGGCCCGTCACTCAGCTTGACGTGTCGAGCTTGATGGCGAGATGGTGTGAGCGAGGGGACCAGCCGGACGACGATGGCATACCATTGCCTCGCAACACTCATAAGAGAACACCCGTGGAACGGCGACGAGCTAAAGCCGCCGGAATCAGAAAATCTCGCATGAAAGGCAGGCCGACGCGACGGGCTGCCGATCGAGTCGCTAACCGTGCGGCAGTGATCAACGACCAACTACAACGGAACACCGAGCGCCGCGGGTCTGCCTCTCGCTTGCGGATAGAGGAGTCATCCGGGGCAGATGTCTCGGCACCACTGAGCGATCCACACGGCGCGCAGTCACGAAACGACTCAGGCGCAATCCAAAGACACCCCTGCCACAGATAAATTCTCCCATCCACGGCGGGAGCCGGAGATGACGGGGACATCGAGAAAGCAATCGATGGGCTTCTCGACGAAATGCTGCAGGACGACGCGGAACTGAGAGCCGCAGACGAGCATGACACACAGGAACGCACCTGCTGGGAGACAGAACACAGTGCCACGGTTGAGAACGCCATGGTCGAGAACACAGGCGTCGAATCGGAAAAGGTGGCGCAGGAGCGAGCACAGGCTCTCACTCAGCTGCAGAGCTGGGTCGAGGGAAGAGCGGCCGAGCAAAGCACCGACAGCGCGCAACGTGAATCCAACACTCCCACCGCTGTGCTCTCCCGGCCCGTCACTCACTTCGACCTGCGGGGTGTGATCGCGGGATGGCGTCAGCGAGGAAGTCAGCTGGACGCGCCCGGGGACTCTCACGGGAGAACTTCTCCAAGGCACCAACGATCGAAGGCTGCCGGAATTAGAAAATCTCAGAAGAAAGACAAGCCAACGAGGCAAAATGCTGATCGAGCGGCCAACCGAGTCGCTGCGATCGCCAACGAGCTCGAAAGCGGATCGAACGCCGAGCAGCTCCGGAATGTGGATGGGCTGCAGAGTCCAGAGCCACCACCAGTTCGATTTGACGTGCCCGCCGAGAATGACGAGCTCGACCGGGGCCCACGGCCCATAACTCACTTCAATTTCAGAGAGTTGGATGTATTATCGCTCACTGACCCTGGTGGGAACCGTACCAACATCGCTGACTGGGAACCTTGGCTGCCCACGGTTCCGCTCCCCACCATTGGGACTGAGCCCGAACGGGCGTCCAGCGACGGCAAGGTCTCCATCACGTTCCACGTCTACGAGCGGAACCGGTGGAGGGTCGCCGATGTCCTGACCGTCCACCCCTCCGAGCCTTCCGTCTTGGAGAGAACGGTCTGGGGCTACAAGCGGCGGAGGATGGTTGTGTACGACATGCACATGCGGGCGGTCAGCGTCTCATCCAGCTTTCGAGCGGCGACCTCTGACGGAGCCCACGCGCTGCTGTTTATCCCCAGGGAGACCAAGGCCCAGATGGACCAGGTTTTTCTGATCGAGCCGCCGGACACGGCCGCCGGACTGCTGCGCAAGAGGACCAGACGAACAAAAGGCTAAATTTAACATTTACACGTGGGCTGTCTTGGGAATTTTAGCAATCTATGAAGAGACTCTCAAGACCGGCATAGTCTTGTTTTGCAGTAGGTACTGTGCCGCCTGGCTCAAGACATACTTTGTCATGAAAGAGCAGACTTAAGATAGAATATGATCTGTGCTGGCAAGTATATGAGTGTAGACCCAAGAGGCAGGACATGTGACTGGAGAGCCGTGAAGAATAGCCCGGGAAGATCGTCTTAGGACTGCCACTGTCTTGTGACAATTGTCTCAAGACAAAAGAAGTCACGAGACCCGCGACCTGTCTGTGTGGGCGTTTCATGTCGTCACCCGTCTCAGGAGTGCCCTTCTGGGTCGGTAGTAGGCTCTTGGCATACTCGGAAAGCCATTGTTATGGATATTGTAGATAGTTTCTTTCTTTGCGCTATGCTTGTTAGCAACTCATTTTCTTTCTTTCTTCCTCGTCCTCCTTGTCCTTTCCTTGTCGTCACCACGTTGTTAGTTGTGCCAGTCCCATCCTCATAAATATGGCAGACCTTCCTGCCGTTCGCACACGAGGTCTCTGCATTAATAACCCATTCCTTATCTTCTCGATGGAAGTGGGATTTGTGGACAGGATTGCCATCCCGGTGTCTGATTTCAAGTTAGTAGATACAATGACTATTCCTGAGTTATACATGCTTGATACTGACACTCTTCAGTTTGCCAAGTCTGTGCAGCATCAACATCACAGCAAGAGTTTCATTCCTAATGTCAGCAGTCAACATTATGGCTATGGTGATATGAACTTTATAAGTTTCCAGGGATTTCCTCATCGTCGCTCGCGGCCGTTTGTCATTTTTGGGAAGCGGAGGGAATGATTTGCAGAGTAGGAAGGCAAAGGGCAGCTGGGCTATTTCACCCTTCCGCCCTCTTTGTCGACCGCGCTCGATCATTTTTAAGCCTTCTTTCTGTCTTCGCCGACATAGTTCGGGTGAGGCTTCCAATGTAATGCTGTAGAAATCGATTCTCCTTTTCGAGATTGTTATGATCTGACCTGAGCTCATCGATGCGTTCCGCCAGGGCCCGCAACGTCGATTGCAAGGTCTCTGCTTGTCTGCGATCATCCACCATGTCAGCAGTCAACCCAGTTCGCGGAGCAGGATCGCAGTTGACAATCAGGGACAGACAGCGGTGAGAACAGGTAGATACACACTGCTGAACATTTTCTCAAGCCTCTCTGGCTAGTTTCTCCACATCAGCAGGATTTCTTCTCGGGCTCATTGCCCAAGCATCATCCGGGGGAAATTCCTCCTCCTCAATCTCGATCTCTGGGTGATCGCGAGGGAGAAGGATGGAAGCACTGAGTTCTCAACGGGCCAGACGTGGACGCATGGCCCTGGATTTTCGGTCGTGTTCAGTATCCGATATTGAGGAAGAAGATGAGGACAAAGACGAGACATGTACGCTGTTGCTACTAATATCGTTGGGGGTTGGCATTGCCGGCGCCGGAGCTGTGGTGGCATTCGCACCAGATCCAACAGATATTCTGCACCTGCACAGCTGCCGCACCCCTAAACCCCGAAGAACCGACTCGACCTCTGCAAAGACACAGCTGTCAAGATATCCTAAGAGAAGCAGCCAGATTCGATTTCCTGGAGACCGTTTCAAAAATGAGGGAGTGAAATCGGGGGATTCTTTTTTCAAAAAAATTAAATGAAAAAAATATTAAAGAAGAGAACGAGAATTTACTTCAGGACAGAGTGAGAGAGG